CTAGCTGGGATTACTCAGGAGGCTGAGACACCACCACACCCAGCTAATTTTTTGTATTTTAAAATTTTTTTGTAGAGACGAGGTCTTTCTATGTTTCCCAGGCTAGTCTTGAAATCCTAGGCTTAAGTGATCCTCCCACCTTGGCCACCCAAATTGCTGGGATTACAGGTGTGAGCCGCCTTGCCCAGCCTGATCCCCCGATTTAAAATAGAAATTTCTGCCACTCTCTACTCCCTTAACCTGCATTATTTTTCTTTCAGGTACTTATTACTGCATGAATATATTAAATTTTTGTTTGTTGTCTGTTTTACCTGCCTGATTGTTAGCAACATAAGATGAAAAACTTTGTTTTGTTTCCTCCTATTCCCTAGTACCTAGTGCAGTATCTGGCAAACAGGAGGTGCTCAATAAATAACTGCAGAATGTACAAGTGAATGAATTCGTAGGGATGAGGTAGATTGATGGAGGGGCAGATTTACAGAGAAGGTACAACCAAGACTGACACATGTTAGGTTTGACATGCTCAAGAGACCTCAAATAAGGAGAAATAGATGTCACATAGACAGTTGAATATGCTGGTGCGTAACTCAGGAAAAACAGGTGAGCTCTATGTCCGTGAGACTGTGTGCCTGAGCTGGGATGTGTGTGCTTGTATGTCCGGGCATGTGCCCGAGACTGTATGTGTGCACGTGTGTTTGTGTGTGTATGTGTGTCTTGCTTTTCTCACATCTGTGTGTCTGCCGTGTGTACACCTGGGGAATGAAGGTGTGTGGGCCCATGCTCAGGACAAAGAGAGAAAATGTCTGTTCCCAGCCGCCGAAATGCAAATGTTTCTGAAGAGTAAAAGCCCTTCCCTCCCACACAGCCCTGGAGACTGGACCCTGGCCACGGAGAGAGGCTGAGCCAGCCAGCTGTTTCTGCGCTTTCCCAGAAGGACTTGAGGATTTGCTTCCAACTAGGCAGGCTGCTCTTCGCAGGGCAGAAATTTGGGTCACAAACGATCTTGGCAAATATTCTTTCTCAGACGATATTGTTTAGTTTGTTTGCGGGAGGGTGGGAGACAGAACAGAGGAGGGAACTAGGGGGAACCTCTCTGTGTGGCTGGCGGGTCCCAAGCGCTTCAGGAGACCTGAGCCAGGAAAATGCCAGGTTCTCACATCAGAAATGCAGTCCCAGGACCTCTGGGCTTCAGAAGCTTGGGCCTGAGGGCTTGGTCCAAGCCAATGGCAGCAGCTCAAGGGTTAGAGCCACCAGGGCCACCTTCTCCCCACCCCTGGCCCCCATGCCCGGCCTCATGAGTGAACTTGCTCAGTGAAGAGGGTCCCTCGCCTCTGTCCATTGTCCTGACCACCTCAGGGCCTGCATTGTTTCTGCCTCCCTCCTTCTTCTGGTGCTCCTAGTTCTTTTTCTTGTTAATTTTCTAGCTTAATGAAAATTTAACAAAAAAAAATTCATTAAACAAATTGTCACCAAGAATAAAAAAAGTACTTGTAATAAAGGTTCACAACTTATAGGGTTACTTCCAAGTACTTTTTTTTTTTTTTTTTTTTTGAGACAGAGTCTCGCTGTGTTGCCCAGGCTAGAGTGAGTGGCCGTGGCATCAGCCTAGCTCACAGCAACCTCAAACTCCTGGGCTCAAGCAATCCTCCTGCCTCAGCCTCCCGAGTAGCTGGGACTACAGGCATGTGCCACCATGCCTGGCTAGTTTTTTTCTATATATTTTAGTTGCCAATTAATTTCTTTCTATTTATAGTAAGAGACGGGGTCTCGCTCTTGCTCAGGCATGGTTTAGAATTCCTGACCTCGAGCAATCCACCCGCCTAGGCCTCCCAGAGTGCTAGGATTACAGGCATGAGGCACCACGCCTGGCCAATTCCAAGTACTTTTGACATGGCTCTCGTGTGTCTGAAAGTTACCAATATTTTCCACCTTGGGGAAATTGGTGGGAGAAGCCTTCTGTGCTCATGTCCCCAACTATAGGCAAAGTGTCAAGCTCAGGAACTTTCTGACCCGGGCAAAATTCTGAGGCCTGGGTTTCTGATTCCTGAAGGTGACCTCATTGCCTGCTTGTCTCTTTGGAGAGTCTGAGGACCCATGTTCCTTCCCAGCTATCTGCCTGCAACTGGCAAGTAGGAAATTGTATTTCTCTCCCCTCTTCAGTTCTTACAGCTCTTTGGGTTGAAAGAACCAGACAGTACAGGATCATAGTACTCAAGGCTCAGAGGGCCTTCAAAATCAACTCAGTTAGTGGTTTTCTTTCTTTCTTTCTTTTTTTTTTTTTTGAGACAGAGTCTTGCTTTGTTGCCCAGGCTAGAGTGAGTGCCGTGGCATCAGCCTAGCTCACAGCAACCTCAAACACCTGGGCTAAGCAATCCTGCTGCCTCAGCCTCCCAAGTAGCTGAGACTACAGGCATGTGCCACCATGCCCGCGCTAATTTTTTCTATATATATTAGTTGGCCAATTAGTTTCTTTCTATTTATAGTAAGAGCGGGTCTCGCTCTGCTCAGGCTGGTTTCCTGCCACCTCGAGCAATCCGCCCCCGCCCCTCGGCCGTCCCAGAGTGCTAGGATTACAGGCGTGAGCCACCCGTGCCGGCCTCAGGCTGGTTTTTTTTTTTTTTTCTTTACCCTTTTTTTAAGCTTGGTATGTGTCAGCCCCTCAGGCTGGTTTTGAACTCCTGACCTCGAGCAATCCGCCCTCCTCGGCCTCCCAGAGTGCTAGAATTACAGGCGTGAGCCACCCGGCCAAGTTAGTCGGGTTTTCAAATATTGCTCTATAGACAACCAGAATTCTGCAGAGGGGTCTCAGATATTGCCAAAAGGATTTGGGCCTAAGGCAGGACTCAAGGCTTTGCTTTTTTTTTTTTTTTTAACCCTTCTTTTATACGATGGGCTTGTGCATACACACTCACAGGGGAAAAGGCTTCTGCTAACCAACAACCTGAAAACCACGTTCATAGTCCACTCTTTTCTTGGGTGTCTAAATCCCACCTTCTCCGTACCGCTTTAGTCTGTCAGTGTCCCCATGGCCTCTGCTGCCCTCCCCTCCCCCACAGGCAGATGAGGTGGCTGGGACAGGAACCGGAATCAAGGCTTCTTGCTTTCTGCTTTGCATGGAGTTCGCATCTCCTGCCACCCCTCACTCCCTGACTGAGTCTGTTGTCCCAGTTTCAATTTCATTCTTAGTGTTTCTTTTCTTTTTTGGGACTGAAAATATTTATTGAGTCAACAAACATCTCTGCACCATTCTGAACAGTTAATACCCGTGTTCTGTTAAAATTCTTTAAGTGCGTATGCCTTCTTGTTTCAAGGAGAATGTTAAACTTATTTTTATCATTCTTATAACCAGGGCAGGTATATTAGGACAGGCACAGTAACGAAAGAATACATAAATGAATCAATGGGATTTTTACTTTTGTTAGTCATTGTTCCTCTTCACTACCTGACTCAGAGCCTGGGGCAGTAGGAGAGCAGGAACTCAAGAAGCCTTTCTCAGATATGGCATTAAGGCACAGGGTAATAATACTTAATAGCAATAATACGTGATCGGCACTGTTCTTAGCATTTTACATACACTAACTCATTTATCTGAACCACCACCCTACATGGAAGGTTTTGTTAGTATGTCTGCTCCATAGGCAAAGAAACAGGGGCTCACAGAGGTAGAGTGGTTTGCCCAATATGCACAACGACAGTGCCTGGCAACTGGGAGCTCTCCAGTGGGGGCCTACCTTGGCATTTACAGCACTTTCTAAACGCAGTCCACATGTGCAGGCTGCCCTCCTCCTCTTTTTTTTTTTTTCACAAAAACACTGAATTGCACTTGGGTGCCCTCCTTCTCTTTTTGATTCTACTTCTTGCTGTTCTCATGATAAACTCTCCCTGTAGCCACAGACATCCCCTCCCTTAGTATTCCCTGCCCTATCTCTGCCTCTTGAAACCTGACCCGTCCTTCAGGGCCCTTCTCCGATGTTACCTTTCCCAGGAAGTCTCCTCTGATCCCGCACCAAACTGGAATGATTCTCTCCCACCTCTGCGTCCATCAGACAATTTACTGGAATGGGCTGGCAGCTAGCACCACATTCTGCCATATAACCTCTCTTCCTTCTGTGTGTGTGTGTGTGTGTGTGTGTGTGTGCACACAAACACCTGGCTTCTGCTCTAAGTCAAAGCTTCCTGAGGGCAAGGCTTTGTCCCAGGGAATCCCTTGCAAGGAACGGGCACACCATGAATGTTGGTGGAACAGGGAGAATGAGCGGAGTCGTACTGGAAATCACCAGGACACATAAGTACATGTATTAAAAAACAATTACGCTGCCTTCCTCTCCCAAAGTCCTTGGCTCTCCTGGGTACTTGAGTCTGGAAGGAAGATTCAGCCTTTGACAAATGTCTGTTACTCTGTCTGCAAGGTGGGGCTGCTTGGCCAGTGGTGGAGCCACGTTCCCCAGGGACCTTGTGGTCCTCTCCACTCCAGGGCCCCTCCTCCCCTAACACCCCTCAACTCCGACGCCCCCTCCACTGAAGATCGCAGGACCCCAGCCTCAGCAAAGCTGCGGATCCAGTCACACGGGAGTGGGGTGTATGGGGAAACTGGAGCCCCCCACCCGCTTCAGGCTTGATATTCTGCCCTGATTATGACTCGAGTATGACTCCCAGAGAAGGCAGGGGTGGTGGGGATGTGGAGACTACGGAGGACGGGGACGAGAGGTACCAGAAGGCAGGCGTAAAGAAAGGTGTGTCTGGTGGGAGGTGGCAGGAGGTGGCGGGGGCTCGACCTCGGGCCGCTCCGGACTCCCCGCCAGCACCAGGAAGGGTCCGGGTCTGGGCGCTGGAGGACAACTTCTGCCAGCAGCCCGCCGCGAGTCCTGTCCGCCTCCCGCGCGCTGCGGTGCCCAGCCCCGCGCCAGCCCTCCCGCGGGAGCTGGAGCCCGGCCGCGCTGCTCCCCACCCGGGGCCACCCCGGCTCCCACCCCCCCATGCCCACCGACCGGCCTCCTCACCTTCGGGACCGGAGGGAGCGACCGGCCGGCGGGGGCCTGGGTCTGGGCCGGGCTGGGTGCGGGAGGCGCTCTTCCCCCCGCGCTAGCTGCGCCCGGGGTTCCGCAGCGCCCGCCCCGGCTGCGGCGCCATCAGCTGCTGCGAGGCTGCGGGGCGGTCGGGCCGGGGCTCCGGGGGGCTGTGGGGCGCCGAGGTGGGGGGTCTGGGGCGGGCTCGAGGCGTAAACACCCAGCAACGTGACCGGAACTGGCGAACGAGCCGGAGGGGGGCGGGGGGGGCGGGAGATATGAGGGGGGAGGGGAGGGACCTGAGACAGGCGGGGAGGGGCCGTGGGCGGGGCGGGGGGAGGGGAAGCTGGCGGCGCGCGGTCGGGGGGGAGCCCTGGGAGCCCCGAGAGCCCCGGGAGCCGGGCCTAAGGACCCCGGCGGGCAGCCGGACTCGCAGAGCTGGCTTCGGCTGGGAGCTGGAAGGGGAGCCCGGGCAACCCGCCGGCGACTTGGCGAGCAAGGGCGCGGCGGCAGATCAGCACCGCGGACAGCGCCCAGGCTGTCAGGCCGCGGTCCGCTCCGCCCCTCTGCCCGCCCCGGCGTAGGAAGGAGAGACGGTGCCTGCACCCGCCCAGGCAAGAGTGGGGTGGAGGACGACATAACCAGGGGTCTGGAAATCTGCCCCGAATTTAGGTGGCAGTAAAGGAGCCTCAGACCTCTCAGTAGCTGTGCGACCTTGGGTGAGTCGCATCACCTCTCTGGGCCCCAGTTGATAAGACACCATATTTCCACCTATGTGAGGGTCCCAAGAGCCAAGGGAAGATCCATTATAAACTCTGAAGTTCGGAACAAGTGCGAGGCATTGGTGTTGATCCATTTTCACTGCACATGGAGGCTTCCACGGTCTCACTGCATGGCTTATCATTCTGGCTACACCACTATCTTCCTCCTCCCTGGGGCTTGGCCTCCTCATCTGTGAAACGGGGATAATGATGATCTATGCAGCTCATACAATTTGTGGGTTGTTGTGAGCATTAAATGAATTAATACATGTAAAGTGTTTACAACAATGCTGAGTGCTCCTTAGGCCTTCGTGCTTATGACAAGGGACCAGGTAGCACTGTGTGAGCAGTAGGGTGGTCATTGCTCGGTGCTCCCTCTGGGTAAATCATCCTCATCCCTGCCTGGAGAGATAGAGGAACAGACTCAGTGGACTCAGACTAAAGGGCTGCTCTGGCTTTTCCCATTCCATTGCCAGCCAAATACTCCCTGGCCTTTCCTCCTGGGCCAGATTTTCAGAGAAACGGTCTACTGTTGTTTCCAGAACTGGGAAACCCACACCTGCTATGAGGACTTTGGGGGAGACCTCAAAGGCACCCTGCCTCTCTATGGGTCCCTTTCCTCCCTGTCCTCCCCAGTCAATGTCCAAGGCTTATCTGGACTTGGGTGTCAACAAATAAAAGCTTCATCTGTTCCTGACAGATTTGAGGACTCAAAGAGTTGAAGGAATTACTCTCTTAGGTGGTTTGACAGGCAATGGAGTTCGTATTATGCTCAAAGGCCTCTCAAATCCCACCTTGTAGGACCTCTAGCTTTGAGCTGCACTGCTGGTGGCTCCTCTTCATCCTGCCTGAAGAAATTTCTGGGAGAGGAGCAGAAAGGCCAGAAGAGTCCTGCTTCCTAGCCCCTTGCTGTCCCTCCTAGAGGGCAGTATTCCTGGGCTGTGCAACTCCTCGCCCTGCATGTCAGTTTCCTCAGCAGCAATAGGAGTTCGGATGAACCATCCATAGCCTCTCAATTTCATGAGATATCAACAAGAAGGATGAAAGGTATGTTTTGTGCCCCAAAAGACATGCAGTATGAAGGAGCCTGAAAACCTGGGCTCGATCTCTGCTCTGTCACTTACTAGCTGGGTGATTCTGGGCAAATCTTAGCCTCTCTGAGCTCCAGTTCCTTCTCAGTAAAGTGGGAAGAGTAACATCTATTCCACCAACAGGACCCTTGTGAGGGTGTCACAAGGTACAAGTGAAGTGGTTTTGTAAAGCACATGTGGATAAGATCGTTATGACCAAGTCCCAAATGTTTTTCTCCTTTCTCTGTTTCAAGAGGAATCCTGTTTTTCTCCTTAATCTGAATCCAGGAGGAACTATTTGCTTTAGCTTCTTACCAGCTAAAGCAAACGCAAACGGTCCCAGACACCTGTCTGGAGGGTGGCTCTGACTGTTCATGGGGGACTCCAGCTTTGGCACAAGAAGTGCTTCTTGCTGAATCCTGCGCCTGACCAAGTTCCTGGCTGGGCACGAAAGGCCTCTAAAGCTGCCCTCAGGAAATTTGCTACATATTTTGCTGGAAAATATCTGTATGTGAAATGACAAGCAGCAGGGACAGCGCACTCAAAGAACAAGTGAAAGTGACTCAGCCAGCAGAGCTGAGAGATTGCCATGCGAAGGCAGAGCTAGGGCCTGGACGTGGGGGCCAGGATACTTACGGCCACCTCCTTGGAGGAGTTTTAGAAATCAGTAAGTCAATACACAGAGTAATATTGGGCATAGACGACTGCCCAGCACTGTACCTGAGGTTGTGGGGAGACCAGAGACATATCATGAAATGAGACCTCAGAGATGATGATATTGATAATAATAATGAACATTTATTAAGCACTTTGTATGTGCAGGCAAGTTACTAAATACTGTTTAAGAATCATTTCTCTATTTTCAAAATTAAACTTGTAATGAAGTAAAACTAAAGTGTATGAAAAGCATACCTTTTGCCTCAGATGTAGCCATTATTTTGAGCTCAGCCCTTTACCCACATAACCTCACTTATTTTATTTAATTTTTAATTTTAATTTTAATTAATTTATTTTTTTAAGTCAAAGCACCTCGTTGAAATTATTTTTAGAAAGCAGATTTTCATTAAATGTATTTTCCTTGGTATGCACATTTGGGGTCAGAGGAATATATGCTTTGAGAATGTGTACGTGTGTCACGCGTGTGCACACATTGGGTAGGAGCGATACTGATTTATCCGCCTTGTCACACTAGTTCTTTTTTTTCTTTTTTTGAGACAGAGTCTCGCTTTGTTGCCCAGGCTAGAGTGAGTGCTGTGGCGTTAGCCTAGCTCACAGCAACCTCAAACTCCTGGGCTCAAGCGATCCTCCTGTCTCAGCCTCCCGAGTAGCTGAGACTACAGGCATGCGCCACCATGCCCGGCTAATTTTTTCTCTATATATTAGTTGGCCAATTAATTTCTTTCTATTTATAGTAGAGACGAGGTCTTGCTCTTGCTCAGGTTGCTTTTGAACTCCTGAACTCAAACCATCCGTCCGCCTTGGCCTCCCAGAGAGCTAGGATTACAGGCGTGAGCCACCGCGCCCGGCCAAAAAGGTTAAATTTAACATCACACAGTTTGGAAACAGCAGAGCCAAGATTCAAACTCTAGCCTAGCCTGAGCCAGAGGGAAGCTTGTAGCCACAGCATCATCGGGCCTTCCGGAGAGGAAATGATCCCGCCGTGCCTGAAGGCGCCTGCATTGGTTATGAGCTTTAGGGGAAGGTGAGGGCCAAAGTGTGCAAGGCCTTGAATGCCAGCTCAGAGAATGAGGTGTCAACGGCAGAGAAGGCCTAAAAGTTCCTCTATCTCTTATGACAGCCAGAGATTCTGACTTTCTGAGTGTGGTTTGGGTTATAGTTCTGTACCAGTCAGCATCCTCACAGGGAACAGATGACACATTTAAAATGGATGGTTTGGAAAGGGTTAAGGAACTATTTACAAAGCTTCGAACAGAGTTGAAGGGGTAGGAGAGCACCATGAAGCTGAGCTGTCACCGTCTTTATGCCTGGAGGGATAAGTGAAGTGGGCAGTTATGGGGACTCAGACAGGTGAGGGCTCAGGAGAGGGCTTTCTTTAAAGGGACTTAACCTGGCAGGGAGAGAGTTGAAGAATAAATATGCCAACCTCACTCCCCACCTGCTTCCCTCCTTCCAATCCCCTGCTGGTGTTTTCTCCGCTCAGTCCTAACCAGAAGGCAGAAGTTGAGGGAGTCCATTGATACCGCCTGTACAGGTTGGCTTCCCAAGGTACAAGCAGGACTGAGAAAGGTGGGGACAGGTCTGCAGGGATGAGATATCTGGCATAACCTTTCTCACCAGCATGGGCTGCATTTGCTGTCCCCTGCCAGGCTGCTGCCCATTGGATGCTCCGGCATTGGTGGGCACCAAGACCCCCTCTCCATCCATCCTACACTGTTACAGTGGTGGCCTCTTTCCTTTGTAGACTTGGCCATGCCATCCTGGCCTCCTTAGCTCAGCTCGGGGCCCCCAAAGACTGCCTGATCTGAGTCCCTTGGGATTCTGGGGCTAGAGGGATAGTGCGTGGGGAGCTCTGGGACTGGAGAGGCAAGCTGGAGATCACTGTGGGTAAGCCTCAAAGCCAGCTCACTTTCTGAACAAAAGATCCAACTGGGACGAGGCTATATTCTCCTCGGAGGTGAAATGGCTGAATTGGACAAAATGGTCCCTTAAAAATCTTAGCTCTGTCTTTCAGAGTCTTTGTTCATTCCTAAACCACTAGCATGGCAACAGAAGATAAGGAATGTGTGTGTGTGTGTGTGTGTGTGTGTGTGTGTGTGTGTGTGTCTACTAGGCCACAATTTGACCTCAGATATATCTCTTCTGCCTCAATCAACCCTGCCCACATACTCGGCCATCTAGGGCAGAGGGCTGGCGAGCTCACCTGACAGGTATCATCTAAAGGATTATCAGGGGTTCCACTGCCTGTTCCCAGAATCCCTCCATTTCAGATCAGTTTCCATAATCTTGGTCAACTGGCTCCCAAAATCTTTGGTGATAGGGCTTAACTGTGGCCACTTTTTTCCTTTATTTTCCCATAACTTAATTATTTTATTTTATTATTTTATTTTATTTCTTCTTTCTTTTTTCTGTGTCCTCTAACTTTATATTACCTTTTTTATGCATAATGCTGTACATTTTGCCTTAAATGTACCACTTCCTACATCCAGATATATTTAATATTATGATTTATTAGAAAAGTATTAGAATTATACTTCAGGAAGGTTTGTAAATACAGTAGCAAAAATGTCCCTGTAATCCTACTGTCCTAATGCAACTAGTATTATTTTTGTGTATTATCTTGTAGTATTTTCAGACACATGATGATTTACATTGTTTCCATGGCATGACTATCTGCTTTTTTTTTTTTTTACTTCATTGTATTGTAACTTTTAAAATTTTAAAAAATATTTTATTTGCTGGCTGGGCACGGTGGCTCACGCCTGTAATCCTAGCACTCTGGGAGGCTGAGGCAGGTGGATCGCTGAAGGTCAGGAGTTCAGTTAAAGTAGGTGTCAGTGGGAACCTGAAAGATGAAAGATGTCACTCAGAGACAAGCAGGGAAGATTTAGGAAGATAGTAGGCATCTGTTGTCTCAGGTGGAGTGACTATGGACATCCTGTTGACTATCTGGGTACTAGTGCTCGTGACAGCCGCAAGCATGGCGTGTATGAGCAAACTTAGTCGTCGGCGGGGTAACAAGGACGTGGAGACGAGGCTGCGGTCCCAGCCGCTGCTGCGGGGCGCGGTGACCCAGTGCAGCCGGCCTGTATATAGAGGCAGGGGCTGGCAGGCCGCAACGGGCCCGAAGCCGCCGCACCATCTCCGCACCAGCCGGCTCCGACCTGATTGAGACACGCAGCGCATAAAACACATAGATAAACAAACAGGATATAGATAGGAAATTTGTTATTATTAATTGGAAATTTTACATTGGTACATCAATGGCTGTGTGTAATGATCAGAGTATGTAATAGAAGGGTTATAATGTTAGAAGGTTGATTTTTTTTTTTTTTTTTTTTTGAGACAGAGTCTCAATTATTGCAGGCTGACGTGAGTCGCCGTGGAATCCAGTAAGCTAAAAGACAATAAAATATGGCTAAGATGAATATGAATAAGCATCAAAAGTAGATGGATACAGACATTTGCGAATGACAGGACTAATTTTTTTGTATATATATATTCCGCGCCGGCTCTCGCGCCACCGCCCCGTCCCGAGTTCCCTTATGTAGCCCTCAGCGCCAGCGAGCGGACGCCTGAGGGCGCGTCTGCGGCTATGCCGGATGAGCGGGCGCTGTCAGGACGAGTGCATTGAGACGCGGCCCGGGAGCCAGGGAGATAGACGCTGGCAGCTGGTGCGCTGGTGAGTTGGGCGCGGGCGGCCGCGGGGACGTGAGTGGCGGAGGACAACGCGGCGCGCTGCGTCCGGAACCCGCAGCCGCGCCGGGAAAGCGCAGCCGGGGCGCTGGCCCAAAGGGATTCTCCCGAGCATGAGAGTTGCTGGGCTGGGTGTGCGGAGCGAACGGCTGGCACTGGTCCACAGCGGCCACTCGAGGGTTGACTTCGGTTTCTTCCTAGCTGTCGGCATTCGTAGTTTAATGCGGCTGCTCCAGAGAGATTAAATAAAATCCGGCTTGCCTGGGAGCGGACCAAAAATGATCTGAATGACGGAAATCAGGTTTTGCTCCTAAATTGTGTGGAGAGCCGTCCCCGAACTTG